TAAGGTTCCCCGCAATGCTAGGATTTGTGCCTCACGTGTTGTCGAATATGTTCCGCAATACGATGAACAACTTAGTCCGCGTAACTTTGTTCCAGCAGAAAGGTTAACCCCAGTTTCCACAGCTCTCCCAGCTGATCCTTTGCCGGATGAGGATTCTGGTTATTCACCCAGTTTTGCAGGCCAAGATGTCGCACGTCTTGACGAAGTTGCTGAGGCCGATGATCCAAAAGATGCAGCTGCATCCAGCAGCCCACATGCAAGTGTACCGGAAGGTGCTGCTCCTAGCGCGCCACCGCACCCTTTAGATGATAAGTTGCTTGTTGAGTTAGGTGATGGTATCCCTATCAAAGATGAAGTCTTGAAAAAGGAAGCCACTAGCTTAGAGCATCTTTTGACTCACTACCCCAAAAATCCATATTGCCCATTATGCCATATTGCTAAGGATACTGCAATGCGGGTCTCTCATGTTAAGGATGGTAAGTCCGATGATAAGATTGATCCACCAAAACAACCTTTTGAGCAATTGGCCACTGATGATGTTATCCTTGCAAAAGGGTCTGAGCACTTTGGTACGGGGATAGGAGGGGTTAAAACACACCATATGGTAAGGGACCTTTACTCTGGTGCACGAATAGCATATCCCCTTTCAAAGAGAGATGTTGAATCACATGCCAAAAATTTTCGACATTTCGTGGGATTGAAAGCCAATGAACTTGCAACCCATACTCTTATCAAAATGGACGAAGCACAGGAATTGGAGCAGGCTGCCCATCAGGTCGGCTTCGTTCCTGAGACGTCCCTTCCCAACCGTTGGCCGCACAACGCTCTCCTAGAGCGCGACATCCGGGAAGAGAAAGAGTGTTGCAGGGTCGTTCATTTACAATCTGGTTTGCCTTATGAGTACCACACTTATAGTTACCCATACGCATGTCTTTCCATGACTTTTGATAGACCTTCTATTGTGGACCCTGAAAAGACCCAATGGGAAGCTCTTACACGAGAAAAGTTTGATGGTAAGCGTTTGTGTTTTGGTCAACTTGTGTATTATCGCAAGAAGCATCCAACAAAAAGGACCTTAGAACCCAATATGGCTCCTGGTTTGTTTCTTGGTTGGCGAATCGATTCTGGTTTTCGTTACAGATATGTTGTTCGGATATTAGATTATCAAGAGTTTCGAACTAGAGGTGCTTCATGTGTTTCCGATGTACCCGAGCCTGAACTATACCTTCCAGATGGTGATGCCTATTTTCCCGTCGGTTTTTCGAAGCATCAGGCCTTGATCAGGGGGGATGATCCCGATGATGTTAAACTTCCTGAAATAGCCCTACAAAATGTTCCGTTTCCACCAGACGGCGGTTTAGCTTCCCCATCTACACCCGGTCCCAAACCTAGATCGGTTTATATCACCTTAGACCGCATCATAAAGTTTAAGGAGACTCCCGGTTGTACAGGGTGTAAAAATAAGACTCGGTACCATAATGCAGAGTGCCGCAAACGGTTCCAGAAACTAGTTGATGAAGAAAAGGAGCTGGAAGCCAAGTCAAAGCCCATATCAGAGTCGGTAGTTGTCGAACCTCCGAGCGAAGTTCCTAGTGCGCTTGAGGATGCCCCCGTGGACCCACCACCGGAGGACAGTGTATTTGATGATGAAGGTGAAATCACAATTGCTGTTCCTTATAGCGTCTCTGGTGCTGCCACTTTGCCCCAGACTGCTCCCAGCTGCGCTGAGTTATGTAGGGATTCCTTGCCAGTGTTCGGTGCACAGCCCGTGCCTGCATGCCCTGCAGTTAATCAGCCTCCTAAGAATAACAATAACCGTCGTAAACGACGTGCCTTGAAGAAAAGCCAGAGGTCCAATGAGAAGTCAACACTGTTTGAGTTTGCATGTTCCCTCAACTCACAGCTTGGGTTGACAAGTGAACAATGTAACGTTAATCACATTGGGTTATGCAAGGAAAGGATAGACTTAAGTGATGAGAATCAATGTTCCCAACTTGATTATCAAATAGGTGAAGCCGCAAAAGTTGCACCACCTAACCTTTGGTCGTCCATACCATGCACGTCTGGTTCACCTTGGCAGTATATCAATAGACGGAAGGGAGGAGCTGCTTATATGAAAAGATTAGCGCTCCAACTCCGAGAATCGAAACGACTTTTCAAAAGCTTTACCAAAAGGGCAGAATTAGTTTTGAAACTAGGAGGCACTGTTTCTTTTGAATGGCCACGTCCCTCAACTGGCTGGAAGAGACCAGATGTCGTAGCTTTCTTTAATTCTCACCCTGAGTTTATGGAAGTTGATTTCGATGGTTGTGCAGTAGGTCTTAAGTCCAAGAAAGGTGTTCCCATCAAAAAGCCTTGGAGAGTCCGAACCACTTCCCAAAGAATAGTAGATGTTTTTAAAGATAAAAAGTGCAGTTGTGAACAGCCACATGAAAAGTGTGAAGGTTCGGAAACGGCGCGATCAGCTATGTATCCTCCAGAGATGGCATTTTTGATTACCCAAGCGCTGTACCCTGCTAAGTGTTCTCAACAACATGCTCCCGCAATGCCATGCGCTCCACTTTCAACCGAACCCCAAGAGCACCGCGAAGTTGAACAACATCTTAAACATGTGTCCCCACTAGCTGGTTTTGAGGATCTTGCAGTTGCCATTGAAACAGATCCAACAGTGAACTGCTTAGTGTCGGAGCTTCTAGACCATGAGCGTTTGTTGTCACAAGCCTTCGGGCATGAAGATAACAACGAACCTTCCAAAGAGGTTCAAGCTATGGTAACTAAGTTGCTTTCTAGGGCCGAGATGTTATCCAACCCCCAAGCCCTTGATGCTGTTAAGGCCGAGGCCGACGGACTGATCAAGGCAGGAACGTGGTCACTTGATTCCGTTCGGGAAAAGGAAGATGTATGCGCCGAGGCCAAGCACACAGGAGTGTCCGTTCATTTCGGGCAACTCATGACCATAGCGTCCATTAAATTCTTCGAGCTTGCGCAGCACCTGCAAAAGATGAAGGGCAGGATCGTCTACAGGGGCGACTGCGCAAAGGACGAACATGGCGCTGCAGCGGTCTACCAGGAGCTAGGGGCAAACCCGACTTCGGTCCAAGGTTTGAATGCTTGTTTGGCATACGGTTCCCTGCCAGGTAACAGCTCATCCGCAGCCGATGCTGTAAAGGCTTACGTTCAAGCACTCCTGTCTTCAAAGTACAAGACCCGGATAGAACTCCCGCCTGAGCTGAGACCAAAACATTGGCGAGATAAGTTTGTTAAACCTGTAGTCCTCCTAGTTAAAGCTTTATATGGTCATCCTGATGCCGGTGGCCTTTGGGAGCAGCACTTAAAGAAAATTATCCGCAACCTGGGTGGCCAAGAGGTACCTGAATACCCTGGTAACTTCTTTTTCCCAGATACTAAGTTGTTGCTTTCCACCTATGTAGATGATCTCACGCTTGCTGGTCCCACTGACCAACATGATGCCTTCTGGGCAAAGCTGACATCTGTTGTGGATATTGAACCACCTGAACCAATATACCGAATTTTAGGTCGCAATCATCTAGTAATGCCATTGACCAAAACCGAGGGTTCCGAGGAATGTGCTGCGTTTCGCGCACAAGAAGCCTTAGTCTTTGACATGCTAGATTATGCACACCAAACAGTTGATCTTTATAAGTCCATCACCAACACCAAAAGTTTGAAGCATGCTGCCACTCCTTTTGTACCTGATGGTTCTGTCTCTGTTGAAGATGAAGAGGCTAAAGGTGAACTGGCACCCAATGCATGCCGCATTCTTATGAAGGCGTTGTGGCTTGGTCGGCTGTCCAGACCTGATATAATTAAACCAATTAATGATTTAGCCACTAAAGTGCAGTCTTGGTCCAGGGGGGACGATAAGAGGTTGTTAAGACTCATCCAATACATAGACTCTACACCCCAATACCGTCTAGTGGGTACCATCTAATCCCGAAGATCTTGAGTTACGTTTATACGTTGACGCAGATTTCGCCGGTGATCGTCTTAGTGGAAAATCCACATCCGGTGGGTATTTAGTTCTATATGGGCCTAACTCCTTCTTCCCCCTTGCGTGGGTTAGCAAACGCCAAACATCCACATCCCGTTCTACAACAGAGTCTGAAGTGGTTTCTTTGGCTTATTCCCTGTATCAAGAAGGCCTGCCGGCCCTGCAACTCTGGGAGATTCTCCTAGGGCGCACCGTGACGCTTAGAGTTTTAGAAGATAACCAAGCTACCATCCTGGTAGTACGTAAAGGTTATTCCCCTAAGCTTAGGCACATCACTCGCACCCATAAGGTTAATTTGTCCGGGCTGTCTGAAGTCTTCCGTGATGACTCAGCCGAGCTTGAGTACTGTCAGACCGACAGTCAGGCTGCGGACATCTTCACCAAGGCGTTGCCACTCCAAAAGTGGGCCCCGGCACTGCGCTTGCTTGGCATCCGCGTAGATTTAGGTAGTGAACTTAAACCCAGGGGAGGGGCAGCTACCTAGCGCCCTAACCTGTATACTAGTTGCCAGCATTAGATCGGGTAGGGGGGAGTAGAAATATTACGACCCCTATACCACCAGTGTATATACTAGTGTTAGTTCACTCCTTACTGTAGCTATGTTACCAACACTCTAATAGATTGTACAGTCATCTCAATCGTAACGCAACCTTCAACTAGATGCGTTAGTTGTAGGTGTAGCCATGTAAATAGGATAGGAATTGACCCCCACCTTTTAATCCAGCAGGGTTGGTCATAGTATCCTATCATAACTTACTTGGCTCAAGCGCCCCATCGCAAAAAGGGGCGTTTGCACGATCCATGGGACAAGGGAGATTAATAGGTTTGTTCTTGTTTTTCCCCCTGTTTCTCTTTATATACATATATTATATCCTTACAATTATATTAATCGGATTTAGGCGGGATAGTCTATGAAATCTCGTATGCTCGATCCCTCCCTTAATTATTTGGGATGACTTAACCCACACGATGGCTGCTGGCCATGGAGGTCTATCAGCCTCTGCTGCCGGGAGCCATTCAGCGTTTCGCTGGCTCCCAGAAGCTGATCCAGACGGTGAACAACCAGTTGTCGCAGCAGATGACACCAGGCAGCATGGTGGAGCCATATGATCCATATGGAGCCATGATCACTCTTGGGACTCTTGGGGTCAAACGGTGAATGTTTGGCATAGTTCTACGTGCATCTACGTGCGACCTGTTTGACCGCTTGTGTTTGTTTCCGGCAAAGAACTTGCAGGGGAATTGGTTGACTATATTCCTTTCGTATCTTAGTTCATTCATGTTCGTTCAATCTGTGTTCAAACTTTGTTCCACCCAACTCTTGTCCAATTTCTCCAAGGAAACCGCAGACATGCATCGATCCTGCCTTGGCATCACAGCAGGCTGGATAGCAAGTACTTCTGGTACTTCAGCAAACCTAAGACCTCGAGTTGTGCGGGTGCATGGGGAGTCTCTGCTGATATTTCAGCAATTGATCAAGCTAGAACTTATATATATATATAATATAAAATATATAATCAAATATTATATATATATATACTTGCTTTGATCGATTTGATTTCAACAAAAAAGGCTTTGAACAGCTCATGCATTTTGGACTTTCATTGTTCAACGCACTTGGAAGCGCAGTGAATATTCACTGGCACCTGGCGAATATGGCTGGCACAATGCTTTTTCTCATTTTCCTTTCCAGTGACAACCTCCAGGGCCATGTGTGCCCTGCATTTTGATCATGTTGGTCCTTTTTTGGTCAGGTGAGAAATGTCTTCCCTCAGTACTATGGAGATTGGCCTCCAGTCTTTGGAAACTGGGCGTGCCTTGGTTGAGACTTCGGCTTTATCTGAGTTTTGGGGAATTGGCAAGAGCTCCACTGGTCAATTGGATCATATTGGACCCTTGATAGAGACTTTTGATGACAAAGGCCTGAACATCCACCCTTTGCACTCAGAAGATTCAATGTAAAGATCCACCGTGTGAGCATTCTCGGCACGACAGGTCTGGTACAGCTGTGCCTCAGCGGAAAAACATCTGAGGCGACAGTTGATCGACAACTTCTTCGATGGATTCATTGCCAGCAACACCAGTGTGCTCGAGGAGTTATCGCCGTACGCAGTGGTTGCCAGCCCCAAAATACTGGTCGATACTGGTCAATTGGGTTGGTTATGTTATGTGATATTGTTATACCATGTTATACCGCAGCTTCTGTGAGAGTTGGTAAGGCAATATGCTAAATGCATCTAAATGCCCCATTGTAACCAACATAAAGTGCGAATGTAACTGACACGGAGCGACCTAATAATGCGATCATGTCATAATTCTTACAGTCTGCGCCTACGGAGAGTCCTGTTTGAGAGCCTGAGGCAAATGTTACTGTGAACTATACTGAAACAGGCAGCTCTCCACATTGACAGATTGAAAATAAAATTACCGACTCTTTCCATAGTCTCGCATAGATCCTACACTACGGTAGTAACCTTGCTTGATGTTCGACAGCACAGACTTGGTTCTGAAGAAACATGCTTAGTATTAGTATATGTTAGTATTTGTTATGTTGTTATTTTTGGGTATGTTGTCGTGCCCCGCGTTTATATTGGGACAACGTGGACAGCCCGGGCTCAGCCCGGGGTAGCTCCGAAGGTCCTAAACCCCAAATCCAGCGCAGGACTTCGGTGCCATGCCCAAGGTGCCCCTGCCGCTGGATGGCAAGGTCGCACTACGCCAGCTGATCGCCACAGGGCTCGACCAGGCCAGGGGGAAGCTGTTGATGGAAGTCCTGGTCATAATCCTATAGTCACTATAGTATACTATAGTATACTATAGTCAGAATGTTTCATATGTCATAAGGCGGCAGGATTCAGCACGTACTCATGTCACTGAGTTAATAAGTTCGGGAAATTTTGGGAAATCATTCGCAGCTGCCTTCAGATGACATCAGATGACAAGTTCCCCAGCTGGGGCAGGTCAGCCAACTCCGCGTGGCGCTCCCTACTGCTGATCATCCAAGCTGGTTGGAAAACAAAGCCGTCGCCAAGTGCCCAACAGATCAGGTGTCACGGATTGCCACAGAGTTTGTGTGCAGGGCTGGGTGCGAAATGCATACACATGCTGTGCTCGTCAGCTGTCACCAGCGGATGACTTATCCATATTTGTCGTGATGAACGTCTGTTTCACGTTGGAAGTCCTTTCAATTTTTTCAAACACCTAATGCACCTGATTGTAGCTGCATTCTTTTGGATTCCTGAAACCTTGGTCGACTTACCACTGTTCTGTCAGAAAAAAAGCCTTGGGAATCGCCAGGCCCCGTGGCGTCCCACCTTCGCTGTGAACGGCTCCCTTGTGGCCGGAAACTTCGGGGGTGACGGCCTGGTGAGTTTGGAGATGCCCTGCGGCACATTGGATGCGGAGGCCCCCCCCTTGGATCCGAGCTTGTCATTAGAGACCTGATGAACTCATGAGAATCATTAGAGATATGAGAGCGGATGGGGAACCAGATTTTGGAAGATGATTCGATGATTCATTTTGCCCGTGAAACAAACGGTCTGACTTCATGAAGCTAGACTCAGCTAGACTGCTAGACCCAGCAAGGCCATAGGCATCATAGGCCCTAGGCATCCCTCACCTGTCACATGGCCCTTTTGGGTATCGACATATCCAGGTGGATGTGGTGGTGGATTTCTGGCACCTGATGGACCTGCAGCCTGGTTAAACCTATTAGTTTTGCCTTTTTTTTCCCATTCGTTATGGCCGTTATGGAGGGATGAAATGAACATCCATGACTACCAGCTATTTCACCAGGGCTTCAGGGTGGAGATTCGTCTTCAAGCCTGCCGGCTCCGGCAGATTTGCTGTTTGATGTGGACCATTTTGGTGTGATGAGAGTTGATACAGTCCCGTTTGAGGCAAATTCCGCCTACTATGACCTGCGCGATGATGTTCCTTTCTTGCATTTGGATGCATTTGGACTTTGGGTAACAAGCATAGCTGGATGGTCGGAAGGTTGGCTGGTTGCCATAACAGGATGCGTCAAGATTTAAAACCCACAGTTATTTAGGATTTGAATGGATTTGATGGCTATTGACTCGAGCTCGTATGGTTATGTATTGTTATTTGGCATTATTATCATAAAATACAGCTCTTTTTCTTGCGACTTTGATTCGGTGCCGGGGTCAGGTCTCCTTTGGCCAAGCTGGACATCAAGAAGGTGAACGCCACCTGGGGTGGCAGCGGCCGCGTGAAGGTGCAACCTAAGGACGCCACAGGCAGTTTGTTTTGTCGCAGGAAACCAAGTTGGCCACTTTTTGTAAACATTGCTATTTGTTAAGGGCCATGCGTGAAATCCATGATAGACCCTGAAAGGATGGGCCTGCACAATATCCCGTGGACCAGATGTGCACTTTGCATCCGGATGCCTGCAAGTTGGCGGATGAGATGAGAGAATTTGTTTCCAGCACAGAGGGAGCCACACGCCCTTTGAAAGCACTGGGGAGGATGTGATTTGTCACGTTTGCAAACTCAAACTTCTGATGACAGCGAATGGTATACTATTTTGATCTATTATGATATAGAGAGCAAATTCCGACGCAATGCTTGCAGTTCAGAATGCTCTGACACATCTGACACCCTGATGAATTGATTCACTTCGTCAAAACCGTTATTTTCTTGTCGAGGTCTCTACCACATGGCCCGTGACAAAGTGCTTAGCAAGTGCACCAGCCCACAGCTTTCAGCAGAACAGGACCCAATTGCAAGAAACAACAGGGCCCTTGTCATCAAAGTTGTCAGATGTCGGTAGGTAAGGTCGCTGGAAGCTAGATCTGGATGGAACATGCTGGAACATCCAAAAATAAGTTGGGAACTGTTTGGAGGAGTATTTCATAGTATTTCCATCCATTGGACATGTCGATTTTGGCTCAGCAGTGTGACAGTGTGAGAGATGTTTGAATGTTTGAAGGTGACCGCTGGCCAGGAGGAGGGTCTGCAAAAAGACCAGCTGGGCTACACTTATGTGGAACCAGATGACTACAAGCATCTTTGGCTGGACAATGACAGGTTGGTGGTTTCAAACCTTGCTTCATTTTCTTCACAATTGACTTCCGCTCTTGGGATGGTTCCAACCATCCCGCGTCATTCCTGTCTTTTTCCTTTTTGCGTTGTTTTTATTGTCTCCACGCCTTTTACTTACTGTAATTTCTGCAATTGGGTCATGCCGGTGGATGTCAAATGAGCCCATGAAGCTCAGCGTTATGCACACATTGACTTGTTTTACTGAGACTTTAAGGTGGACATCGGAATGACAGTGCTGTCTTTAATACCTGTGTCATGCTACTGTTGCCTTCAAGCACTGTTCGCATTTTTAGAGCTTGGAGATAGACTACAAAAACGGCGCAAAATGGCGCTAAAACGGCACACATTTCTGGCAGAAACCAGTAAACGACAGAAACACATAGAACCGCATTGTTTTTTTTGCAAAACGACATGTGTTCTTCCAAACGGCAAAAAATAGTGAAGTTTTGGGAAACTACACTTTTTCTGTGCACCAGGGTGTCATCATAGGTATGTTTGTTTGCTTTTTTGGGTCTGAGGGTGTGGTTGGGCAGCGCTGTGGTGATCCTTGCGTTGGCCGTATCTCGGTTTGCATGTTGCTGGGCCAATAAAGGCCGACGGATTTGAAGTGAACGTAGTATCCCTGGGTATGCCCTCCATTGCCCTCCATGCCTCATGGCAGGGCATTGGCGTTGGGCCTGTAACATGAGGCGACTTACACCTTTGCTGCCACACTGGGTCGGCTGGTGAAACCTGACACCTGTGAGTCTGCTGACTTGTCGCCAACCTCCAGCCTGCCGCTGGCCACTTGGACGCAAACCTGTTACTCTATTTACTTATATTGATGTGGACCGCTGAACCATGTTCTCCCATTACAGTAGAGTCTCAGCTTGATGCCACCAAGTGCCAAGTTCTTATCTCATGACTCATGATTTGATTTATGCATTTTTCGCTGCTATAGTTTGGACCACCTTTCAAAGCCCTGTTCCAGGCCACAATCTGCTGGTATGGCACGCCGGCCTCCCGTTCAGTCGGAGGTATCCCAAAGATTAGTAACTCAGTAGCAGTTTCAATTGCCTGTGAGGCGATGCCATGGCTCCGTATCCACCGACTTACTTATTATCATGCTCTACCCAATATAGCTTCCGGCCTTTTTTTTTCTTTAATTGATAATTAATATCTTTCAATAGCCTTTCCATGAGTGATTGAACGGACAGGTGATTTGTGAAGGCATATTGCAACATATTGCCACCACTTCCCACTAATAGTCCTTGAAGAAAATGAGGATACAGCACCTGGCTATCGCAGAGAACATCCATTAGTTAAGGTTATCGGCTATCGGCATTTTCTGATTGGCGAAGACCTTGAGCGCCGAAGGTCATTCGGTCATGGGCCTTGTGGCTGAGGCACCTTCGTCGCCAGTACCTTGATGGCTGCAGGACTCGTTGCACGAATCTTGGCCTGCTTCTGGTTGCCCTTCGCATCTGCCGGGGTCAGCCTTGAGCAGCTTGGTCGGGGTGGCTGATTTCATTGGCGTGGGGGTTGCGGTATTGGTTTTCTTGGCCATGCAATCTGGGGATCAGGAAGGATCCGCCCTTTCCCCCATTTTCCCCCCATTGCCACAAGACTCAGAGACTTGGCGCTAAGCTTTGTGTGGGACCACTGAGGCAAAAGACAGGTGGAACCATCTTCAAAGATGAGACCCTGCTGCAGTACACCTTCTTCGGCAACGCGGCAGTGCTATCAACGGGTCATCATAGATTTGTAATGAATTGTATAGATTTGTGGTCATGTTCAGTATTCAACGATATTACAATCATGCCTCCTTGCGGTTCTTGTGCCCATTTAGACCCGTTTAGACCCATAGTAGCGAGGCATCGGCGAGCAGTTCTACTTGGGTGGATCTCTCTATTGCCAGATCTTGTGGTTCTTCATGTCGCTGGTCTCTGAAACCCAGCCGCACTAAGCCAGATAGACAAATTCTCAGGTTCAGCAGGTGCTGATTGCCCTAAGATGATATGGCAGATGAGAAGGGAGAAACAGAGAGGGAGAGAGAGAGAGAGAGAGAGCGAGAGAGAGAGGAGAGAGAGAGAGAGAGAAAAAAACACAAAAACGAGAAAGAGAGAAAGTGAGCGAGAGAGATCGAGTGAAAGATTGGATGAGATTGATATCAATTGATAATATACTTCGGTGTGCACCTTGTAGTATCGTTTACTGACAATGCATTTGTATGTCCCGTCACATCTACAGATGCATCCAAAGGTGTCATACCCAAAGAGTATCCCTGGCACTTGGCCCTGATGTTGTCCAGAACTGTGAGGCCTTGACTTGTCACGCCATTCTGCTGCTGGTCTGGCTGACTCCCTTCCTGGCTTCGCACCGCCGGAAGTTGTTGATGGCCGCTTTGGTCCTAGGCCGCTTCGCGCTCTCCGAGGTTGGGAAATCAGATTGGCATTTGCAATGACGTGCTTTGTAGCCACATGTAGCCACCACTTCATATAATTATATATATAAATACACAGTATATATCTATATATACACAATTATACACGTAATGAATCACAATTATGTATATATAATATGAATATATATATATATGTGTATTAATTATTTATATGCGTTGTTTTATTTATTTATATCATATATAGTCATATATCGCGGCTTCTACGACATCACCTGACTGTCAGGCTGAGACGACCGGCAACACTGCCATGGTTTTGGGCAACGCTGTGCCGATGCCTCTGGGTATGGTGCAGAAGATGTCCTTGGGCCTGGAGGTGGGCATAGCGCAGGGCTATGCCGTGTATGCGGGGACAGGTGGTGAACCTGTGCTGTGAGGATCCGTCACACTATGCTACACTGCTACAAGAAATTCGTTGATAGAGAGTGATGCAAAGATCGTCTGAAGGGATCTCAGAGCACCTGGTGGAACCCTGGAACACCAGAACGCCTCTGAGATTGGAGCACCATGATGCCTGATGCATTACTATTGTGTGATTCTAGCAAAGTCTTTGTGAATGATGTGAATGTGAATGTCTTCCTTGATCTTCCTTGCGAGATCTTAGAAACATCTTGAGAATAGAACATAATTAATAGATATTAATAGAACATAATAGAACTCATTGTAATGATTCCCATTGTGGGATGGCCATAAACCATACTGTTGAGCACACCTGGGAGGCTGGCGCCTATACGTCCTGGTTCGCCACCGCGTGCACAGTGTTCGCCAATTTGTTGCTCCTGAAGATCCTGCCGAGGTCCTGGCACAACTGGACCGGAAATCGCAAAACATGACCGTATCAGTGTGAATATGCATCGATTCAGTGGTGAACTGAAGTATTTGCTATGGCTGCTATGCAGCCCTAATTAGAGAAATATAGACACATATAAAATTGATTTAAATAGACATCGGAATAATAGGATATAATGGGATAAACATGGACAAACTATGATCAACTATATATAGTATACCCTGGAAGTCCAGGACCTCAAAAAGATCGTCCTCATGAAAATCCGTAGAAAGTGGGTTAAAAAAGTACGTCCATGTAAAATCCTCATGATGTACCTTTTGAGGTCTTAGACCTAAAAAGGAACGTTGCTATAAACATCCTGTTGATGTACCTTTTGAGGTCTGTGTACCTTTTGAGGTCTGAGACCTATAAAAAGGAACGTTGCTATAAACATCCTGTTGATGTACCTTTTGAGGTCCTAGACCTAAAAAGGAACGTTGCTATATAATATTCTTAATCGTGAGAAATCGTGAGTTTTCGTGAGTAGGACCTCAAAAAGTACGTCCCTAAGGCCCTAAAAGCTACGTAAAGGACCTAAAAGGTACATATAGCGGCTCTACAATCGTGAGAAATCGTGAGTGAATCGTGAGTGAATCGCGAGTGAACATTGCTATAAACCCTCGGCCGTAAAACCCTTGACATTGCTATTAACCCTCGGCCGTGGAATCCAACAACATTGCTATAAACCCTCGGCCGTAGAACCTCGGCATTGCTATGGTTTCTCGGCGATGATTCTTTTTTGTGCCACTTTCGGCAAGGACTCAAAAAGTACAGCCTTATGTATTTGTTACTATGTTACATTCCACGTAAACAGATCTCCCACATTTTCGCACCACATCTCATACTCCAGACTTTGTCAGGCCAGTGGCACCCAAGGAGTGGGCGTCCGGCGAAGCACCTCGCTTCATCACCATCGTACAGGCAGCGTGGGATGATAGGCTCTGAAAACCAACATGGAACGCCAACAAAACATGGTTGAGGGTTTAGGAAGGTTGTTTCCATTTTGGGGATGTACACCAGAAGATGGAGAAACTAAACAAAAAACAATAGGGTCGACATCAATCAAAGTGGCGATGTCAACTAGCAATTTCGAGATATTGTACTGTAACTGTGAAGGTAATGCGTGCCAGAGTGACATGCACAGGGAATATGGACCCCACGCATGTCCAAGCTTCTTTTGACAAAAACTGTTTTTCCATTGTTTTTCAAGCTCTTGATTGTTTGCCTGGATCAGTCGGCAGGCAGTGAACAGTGTGATGATGGTGGCTGGCATTTGTGTTTGGTATTTCTGTGCAAGCCCTAGATGGAATGTTGCAATGCCCAAAGGTGCGACAGTGCAATCGTCCCAGAAGACCCAAACTGCAACGTGATACAGGGAGGGATCCTGTCATTTTTTGATTTTTTGGTATGATTTGGTCGACAATGCCACAAGTCCCACTCTTGGTCATCACTCCACTCTGACTTATTTTTTATTCAAGCCGGTACCCGCATACATGACGAATGATTTTGGATTTTCCTCTCCCATTTATAGACGTCATATAGACGTCCTCTCGTGGTTGTTTGGGAAAATCACCTTGGCTCATTTTGGCTCAGGTGACTTCATGCATGCTGAGACTGGTGGCATTGCTGGTGCTTTGATTCCTCCAGCCAACTACAGCGGAAGCGGCCTGGGAAAGAGCGACTTGGGTCACTTGGCTCGAGAAAATGCTTCGGTGATGAACATGGTGGGGCCAGTTGTTTCTGTACATTTTTTAATATATTTTGTATATTTTTTTCTGGTGTTTGTCGCATTTCTGTGTGCAACACTGCAAGCAAACCAGCGTGTGATGAGGTTTGCACATCTTCATCATCCTTACAGCAGGTGGCTTCCAGGGATTCCTGTTATGGCCGGTGTTTGTATAAAGTATAAGTGCATCATTGGTCCAGAAGGGGTCAGCAATAAGAATGTTGTGCTCGTACCCAAGTTGAGTTGCATCACTTCAGTGGTTGCCGGCCGCCCTCCCAAATGGTTTAGGATGTTTTGAGTTTCACTGGATTCTTTCGACAGAACCACATGGCAATCATGGCACAGCTTGCGAGGCGTTTGCCCATTGATGCACATTGTTGCCTTTGTGCTGGGATGGACTGGCAAAGCTCCAAAAGTGGCACGAGGTGCCAAAAAGCCTTGGTGCGGATGGGATGTTGGCTCAGGCTTCTGCAAATGCAGGTGCCACCACTAGAGATCTTTTAAAAAAACGATCAAGATGATCTCCTTTGCACTCCTACATGCGGGTACTGATTGGTACTCGTACTTGCATCGCTCTTTGAGGAGTCCCAGATGAGTAAAGTAGCATCCATTGCTATTCCCAAAGATTCCCCATTTATTGCTGCGGCGAGGCTTGGCCGCTGTGGCCACGTCCTTCTGTCTCTTGGACTTGTTCACCATTGGCTACCTCGCCCCTTGGCCACATTAGCTGAAGGCGTTCTAATACAACACGGCCATACACGGCTAATGTTTGGCAACGACATATCCATGGAAACTTCCTCTTCAAAAGAAATCATGGTGTTTGCAAATCATCACATCACCTAAAATCTAAACAAAAACCTTTAAAAACAATCCGGACTTGACAATTGCACTAATTGCTGAATCAGCAGAGGGACATGTTATGACATGTTGAATCAAGGCAACATTCCTGGAGGGAGTGAACGGTTTTGCCAGCTCAGCAGTCCATGACTTCGCCAAGCCCCTTTGCGAGTTGTCCCAAGAAGCGCTGGGAAAGGCAAGCCACGGCGATGGAAATCTGGTGGAGATTGGTTGGTAAAGGGATTTGAGTAATGTTGGTAAAGCATGGTAAAGCAATAGTAAACCATCACCATTGTTTACCATAAATGGGTTGGATAATCCATCACAACATGGGTTGGTTCTCATTGCTTTGCCAACATTCGTTCAATGATGGTTGAAGTTTCCTCGTATATACTTCTGCACTTATGGATGTTGTATAGGCAAGGGGTAATTCTAACCAGCAGCATCGACCTTTGTGGGATAGGAGGAAGCGAGAACCTAAATGTTTGACCATTCACATCATTGGCAAATCTGCTGATTTTCGTGTACCCTGAAGGGGGATGAAGGGGGTCAGTTGCTACCATCCAGGCGTTGGCAGAGGGTCGGGAATTCTCCCCGTCCTGTGCAGATCCCATGGGTCCCAACAGTAGGTCAGGGTGTCTGTGGGGGGGGGCTATTGTTTGTTGGGAGGGGATGACATGGGAATCGCGTTGAATGACATTTTTCTGTTGCAGGACTGCCTCACCATGACAGCTTCGGTGGTTCCGTTGGGCACTGTTGGTCGGGATCTCAGCGGAGGTTGGATGGCTGTCGCCTACTCAGCTCATCCCCACATCCCCCACTTGAATGCCGTGTCACAAGAGCAAGTCAAGGCGGCCTTCAACAAATTCAAGAGTGATTTACCCTCTGGTAATTTAACATAGCTATTGGAAATCACCATTTTTAATGGGAAAATCCACTATAAATGGCCATTTTCAATAACCATGTTAAATTACCAGAGGGTAGATGATTTAGAAAATTCAGATAGATACAGGTTCAATCAGGTTCATCCCCCAGCTGAGGTCTCTTAGTGGCTACAGCCGCCTGGAGTGCATTGGCGGCTGTTCAGGTCCTTGGTTTCGGCCAGAAACGTGCCATGGCACCAATTAAGGACATGCCGAAGACACTGTGTGTGCTGTCTAGGAATGCCAGCTGTAGCCCAATCGCAAGGTGACAAACTTTGGAAAGATCAAAGAAGCGTGCTACCGATTTATCTTACACAACTGGCTCCAGAATCTGGATCAATGATGATCAATGTGGATCCCAGATGCTGGATACGGAAGAACTCACGGGACATATGGCTTTGCATAAATGTATGGTATATATTGGTATATAATGATTAAAACTGATATATATATACATATAACAATAATGATAATAATATAATAATTGATTAATAAACATAATATAAATATGTATGTATTAATGTATAACTATGCATGGTACACATTCCATATAACATATGCTTACGCTTACATTTAGTGATGAACATGTACTCATCACGTCCGCTTCTGTCTGAGGCATGGCAGGAGAAGTGACCCCATTGCAAGCGGAGCTCCGAGCTGCTGAACCTCCATCCTTCCAGGAGTGTGACGCACGAGCTTAGCTTCAGCACATTTCAGCACCATATTTGGTGGTGGTCTGATTGCCACCCTGAAAAATGCTGGGAAAATGATGGAAAATGGATGAAACCGGTGAAAACCGTCCAATGAAGGTCTGACAAACAAAGAGCTTTTCAGCCCTTGCTACCCCAGAGGATGTTCTCAGTGACACCCTTTGGCAGAGCAAGTTTGCTTTCACACTTAAGTTAACGCGACCGCGCGTCAACCCTTGCAGAGCTCAGCAAGATGCAAGCGCAAGCACGTTCTGTGCATTTCTGCGCCTTTTTGTGCTTTGGAACTGGGAAGGCTATATTGAAATCATTAGAATACCGAGGCAACTCTGTTTTTGATCGTATTCAATAGGGCAGGGCAAACTTAAACATAACAGTTTTTCAAGGCTTATGTTTTATGTTGCCTATATTCTGCATCCCTGCGAGCTGCATCAAAATGCCCTGCTATGAGGGCGGGCATCAACCTTTTTTGCTGACCCTTATTTTGCTTCACTGACACCTTTCAGAAGAAACTTTCAAGTGAGCAGACCAAAAGGTGCATCAGGATGCGATGGGGTCAGTGCCTTGTGTTGTTTCCTGGCGAGGAATCGTGCAGTTTATGCAGCAGTATGGTAGGGATATAAGATTATATGATATAGAGTCTATAGTTTCAGATTCAGATGTATTTTATAAGTGTTTGTCTATGTAGTCTCACATCACATTACTTCTTTACCCAAATGTAAGGTCCCGTCTTTCCAACAAATGTTTGAAAGGCTTTCTTCGATTCATGTTGGACATGGCGATATTTGTGCCTGCGCTACGGGGCTCCTCCTTATGTAGAGTATCTCTTGCCGCTGGCATCGAGGGGTTGAGCTTGTACTGTAGAATCTGAAACGTCCCGTCCCATAGACCCCAAGCACATCGAAGCACTGCATTTGCCTGAGATCCTATCAGCCTATGACCCCAGCTGGCTAAGGTGAGGAATGTGATGTCGACCTATTCTTGGTGATGCCAAGAATCATTTGGCTTCGCGGCCTCTGCAAGCCTTCACAGCAAGTGCAGGCGCTGATTGATCTGATTGGAGCTGGGGATCAGTGGCAGAGGAAGACCCCATATCATGACTTATACCATGTTTATTATTGTCCATTTCTCATACACCTATCATTATTATCAGTGAGGTTTGCGGTGCAAATTCAGTGATTTAGCTGTTGAGGCCGGTTGTTCAGATTTGTCATTCACAGGTTTGTGCAACGAGTTGAGCACATCAAAGCCAGAAATGGTCAGCCTTGGGTGTCCATAGAGCCTGGTGTCCGTTGTGGATGTCACAATATGTCAAGGCGGTACGCTGTTTTGCCCGTGTTCCACTGTGTATACTTCGTGGTGGGGCCATGGGTTGGGTCACTAGGCCCTGCTTGGAGTTTTTGGCTCAAACAGCGAGAGGAGGACGGCACTGTCGCAATGCCATACGGCCATGCCAAGCAGGTGTCATGAGATCGACTCAGAAGATGAAGCCTGGCAGGGGGTGATCGACCCCAGTGTCTTCCAACAGGTCAGAGATCAACAGGAGAAGCAGCGGATCGTGGCAAAACTGGAAGCCCAGAACCGACGCCGACCTGGTGAGTTGGGAAACTCAAGTGGCTCTGGCTACGCAGCAGTGCACAGCGGACCAGAAAGCAGTGCCAGCTCCAAAGAGGGTGGCAGAGGATACACAGAAAGTGCCAAAAAGCTGCCAGTGGGAAAATTGGTAATTGTGAACCAGATCCCTAGCCAATTGGCGTATTCGGGATGGTAATATTGGCCCATGCTCAGTTGCGCTTGAGCAGAACCCCATCAACGGCAAAGCATGTCTACTGTATTGTCCACTGAGCCGGCCATAGGTATTGATATCTAAGGAGCGAAAGCTGGTTGATATCCCTATACTTCGCAGGGAGCTATTTTTAAAAGCCCAGTTACCCAAACAAGATATGTTGGGATGATGAACCCCATTTGCAAGCAATCACTTGATGCCAGTTTCTCCCAAGTGAAACAATGCCATTCCAATAATTCTCACCAAGCTGGTTCACATCAGGTGTTCAAGAGTCTTCTGCCACATCGATTTCTTGAGCCGCCCTTGGCGGGGGACTCTTGGAACGTTGATGACGAGCTGAGCAATTTTGTGCCTTGGCCGGTGGCCGTGGCTTCGGCCATATTAATGAACCATGATGCAAAATTTATGCAGCATGAAATGTGAATAGATGGCGATGGGGAGAGAGAGAGAGAGAGAGTAACCCCAAAGGATAGACAAGCAATTTACATCAATTTACCAGTTTGTTAAAGCATGTTTAATTACTTTGTGTGGGTTGCCTTATATAGACGATTATAAAGGTTGACATGGCTGCCACAAACAGTTGGAACATGTTGAAACTGTAGAATGGATTAGTATGATGCATCTCTGTCCAGAGGCTACGCAGAAAAAATGATGCGTGATTTTGACCGCTTGTTTCTTCTTTACAGGTCAATGCTCAGAGAGTCGGATGAATATGCCTCCTCACACATTACGGGTTGACACGAGCTCCCAACCTCATTTTCTTTGTTCTGGAATCCCGGTGTGCGATGCAGAAAGCTCATGAAAACTCAATCAAGCACTGTCCATCACTGTCCATGCGGACGCAGTGATTCCCCGGAAAAGGTGCTTTTCTTCCGGCACGTCAACAGCACTTTGATGGGAAACTGGCGAGCTGTAGGCTCACACATTGCCGAACGATCAGCTTGGGAGCCTTGACCCAACAGCTAGGTCACACGCTGACCTCTGACTCTGTTGCTCCTTTGTCAATATGGTGTAGCTGGTCAGCTAGTCAGCAAATTCCTGGGATAGTCTTGTGCACCACTGATGCTGGAACCTTTTGTGATTTGGTTGGGATCAACATGCCTTGATACACTTTGCCCGAAGTTTGGTAGACATCGCTACTGTGTCAATGGCAGTCCTGCAGGTTTAGCCTTTCAGCAACCGCTGGAGATTTCAAACTGCCCACCCAATCAATTGGGAGAAAGCTTGACCTGTATCAGCTATATACCAATGGAAATCCAATGGAGTTGGCTGGTAGATTGAAGGAGCATGTAGCCAATTGCCCAGTCCCAGTGCCTCAGGAAGTCTTGGTGAAAAGAGTGGCCTGGCTGAAATTGAATGCTTCACATTGACAGCTGGAACGCAAAATGTGGAGATGCCCAAGTTTTCCAAAGGGTGCAACAGATCGAAGCCAAGGACAAGAGTTTCCAATTAGTTCTATATATATATAATGTGTATAATATATATATATATACATATTACTGTATATAGTTTCTTGTTTGTCTTGGTTGTCTTCAGCTAGCCAATGTGCCAGTTTAATTCCTCTTGGCCCACAGTTGCAACAGGTGGTGCTTGGCGATGGAGAAGCGGAGAAGGAGGACAATAAATTTCGTTGGGGTTTTGCATCAACCACTGGCGGTTCCAACTTTCAGATTGTTGATTGATGAGCTCAGTGGTTTTATGGCTGAATGTGGTCGCAAAAGTCTTTGATTGGATCCCCTTAGGGCCCTTACGCTATCTTAGAGTCCAATTTGCTGAAGCCCTCCCAAAAGCCCCCCACAAAAAAAAAGACACAAAAAAAAGACACAAAAAAAAGACATGAGGTTCGGAAACATATGGAAGCATGAAGCATCTAGGAAATTCTAGGAATATCTCTTGGAATTCTATTTGATGGTGGTTGGATGCTGAACATCTGAAGGAAGTCTATGGCGGCCTCTCCTCCTCACGACCACAGGCAGAAGCCACCGTAGAGGAGCCATCAGAGTACGGTCAAGACAGTATGAAGAAGAATGGGATAATCTGGATAGAATTTGATGGATGCTGGATGCTGTTGTTTTTGATAATTGTGGTTAAGTCAAGACCCGCTTCCTTTCGCAGTTTCTTGCTTTTTTCTGGGTGCTGAATGCCCACACAGCACAGGCACTTTGAGAGAATCCGGGGTTCCTTTGGCCATTCTGTCATACTTCTCCAACGCAAGTTGTGAACTTGCATCGAGCTATTTGGTTCGCAGCAGAATCCCAACCGAGCTGCGTTTGTTTTCCACGATGGAAATTCCAGTTCAAACCTGTCAAGCATCTTATATAGGTGTTATATAAATTATATAGGGATATGATATGATATGGGATATGACACGGGATATCCAATATATCTCATCTGAGATCTCATTATATCTCAAGTGATTCCAAGGACATGTATATGTTTAGCTGCTTCCAAGTGCAGGAGCTTGTCAACAAGATGGAAGCATGGAGTGGCTCGGTTTTTTTGAAAACATGTGTGGCACATTTCAGGTCTATATTTGAAGCCACCCTTGCGACCGCCGAGGCATGGAGCTTCAAAGGCACTGTGCTGAGGACTGGAACCAATTCGCGGGGATTTTGATCCAGTGCTTGTGGGGACCCCAGCGCGGTGGACGGGGGGCAGTAGATTGCAGACATTGACAAAACGGCACAGGCATTTCAAACATGACAGAAACTTGCTTCATCCATGTTCATCCTATTTGAAGTCTGTTGTTTGATGTTACTATGTTATTTGTGGGGTCAGCACTTGGGTAGTTTGGTGCGGGTACATCACCGAACTGAACAAAGCTCCAGCAGTCAGCGGTTTGTGTTTTTTACAGTTGGCCTGAAAAGGTCGGGTGAAAGGAAGAAAGATTCTTCGCAGATGCAGTTCCAAGTGCCACAGCTCAATGATGGGACAACCGATGCAGCTAACATCATTCTGTCAAAGCGAACACGGAGGTGAGGAATGTTGGGATTGATAAAGCCCCGATTTAATAATGGCGGAGAATGGCGGGTTACCAATTTGAAGGTAGGTTGATGCCATGATGCTAGGTTCGCTCCTTCGTTTTTGCACGTTGTTGCCCTCCCTCATCACTGCCTACCAGGCCTACCATCATCACATCATTAGATCACCCAGCGTTTGTTTTTAGTGTTTCCATCAGTCAACCATTTATAGCCTCATTGATCTGCAACTTTGTGCATTTTCACACGATCGTCCGCTACAAACCGGACACAGACGTGAGGAAACAGGACAAAGAGCACCAAGTAATCAGCAACCATGCTGTGAAACTGCACTGAATTCAGGCAAACGATTTTATATAGAATACTATTTTGAACATGGACATTCCTTTTATCGTTGGAATTCTATTTGTTTATTGTCTACCCAATTTTCTATGAGTAGGTTTGATGTTACATTGGTTGCGATGATATAATGATGGATGATGAGGTGGAATGAGGTGGAAATGAAGATGGTTATACATGATATATAGGAGAAATTGAGATTGTTTTGATGATTGGGGATATGATTTGGACG